TTTTACATTCCAGTATTTTAATTTCTCGCAATTTAATTTCTGCAATTTACTTTTCCGTATCAGTTATTTATTTTTCAGTCTTTACATCATTCGCGAGAAGAAACTGAGCAATAATGGGCTAAACGCCTTAGCTTGGGGTGTAAGGGAAAATTAAAACCAAAGCCGATGTGAAAGTACAAAGGTGTCTTATTAGCATTATAGTCTACTTTTTGTTTCAGGTGATTAATATTTCACTTGAAGATTACATTAAAATTAATTGACAACTGATTTTTTGTATGAAAATGTATTGACTTTCAAAACCTGAGGTAATAGGAGAAGGCTATAAATAACTTTAGTATCTGACAAATGTTATACTCCTACGATGTAGGATGGTAACGCTGTGTTGTGCTATGATTCACGACGTCTAACATAAATGATATCGTATCGATAGCATGTTGACTAGTGTGTACTTTTGGGAGGCCGTCTGACCCGATAGTTGATACTGTGACAGTTATATAAAATTATTTATTGATTTTAGATAATTGTGACAAGAATGCTATTTCACCTTTTTGCTGAATCATTTGTTTAGTATCTTTAATCAACCTTTGCATCATGTGCTTCTTTTTAAGACTGATGTTTCCTTAGTTGCTAATCAAACCTCCCAATTTTAGATAGATCAAATCCCTCGTTTCGTCATCTGAAATTAGTTTTTATAGACTGGACTTTTGAATAACTTTGCAAAGCTATCTCTATGGGAACGATATCTGGTACTATACCATTATTACTTGTTACGAGATGACAGTAGTTCAAGGTGTATACTTGCGCCGAAATCTATTTTTATGTTGAAATCTAATGTTGAATAAACCAACGAGCATATGTTCATGTCAATTATTTTAGTCTATGAAGAACTTGTGAACTCGAATCAAATAGATCTCACCTGCTGTTCATATATGTTCATGTTCATATATGCTCACATTAATCATCTCATGGTCATTAATGATTGCTATAACTCGCACCAAATAAATCTATTTTCTAGTTGTTGCAGTTGATTACTCTAGTTATGTAATATTAATGTTCATTGATTTTACTAACTATGATGGTATCTACAGGTGTTCACATACTTACACCCTCCGAACATGAAACGAAGTACGATGTCGGAGAGTGTTCAAATGGAAGCAAGTATATAATCCTCAATATTGATGACGAGCTTAAACCAAAGATCAACGCACAATTCGTATCTATAAATGAAGCGGAAAAGATGTACAGGACGTATGCGGACAATGCCGGGTTTGATGTTCGTCTTCATGCCAAAAAAACAAACAAGAACGGAGACATACAAACAAGATGGTTTGTATGTAGTAGTGAGGGAATACCAAATAAAAAGTATTTTGATTCTATAGCCCTTCAGTCCGGCAAGAGGAGATATCGTAATACGAACCTTAAACGGTATGGATGCAATGCATGTATAAAACTCCAATTGACAAAAGATAGCTCTTAAATATGTTCATAATGAATGAACTATTATTCACAAGTTGGTCATATTGTGTTCATACCTGTTTTTTTATTTATTTCCTTTCGTATAACAGCTATTCTTATTATGTTCATATTGTGTTCATAAATGCTATGCAGTCCAAGTTCATATATATGCCAATTTTTTGTTTGTATTTGACACAATGGTTCATATATATATATATATATATATAGTAGTGTCCATACATGTTATAGTTGTCTCATAATTTAATGACAAGAGTAAATATGTAATTTTAGTTTGTAAATATGTGATTGTTAAAGGAGACTCGATAGTAAAGTTTTCGATATCGTTCAAACTAATATGGATAAACCCATTGGAAAACAACTCGGCAACAATGGGTTAAAATGGTTTACAATGACAATCGAACTTCGAGTTCTGGAAGTGAAGACAATAATCAAACGTTTGTATTGGTAATGGATTAATATGTTATTGTATTCGTTTTAATCGAAATTATGTTGATTATGACGTTTTTGTGTTTTTTATAGTTCAACTGTGTTGGTAGCTTTTTCTTTAATTATTACCACGAGCCTAATTCATATGTTCAAATGGAATGAGTTCATCGTCAACTTAATTTGTTATGCAATCCAATTCTGATAACCATTTAGCTCCATCAGCTGTTTGTGATGTTTGACCTGCCATAGACTGCAACTAGTGTTCATATACGTTCAGTTGTGTTCATATATGTTCTAGTATGGACATGAATCAAGGCATCTAATGAACTGTGTGTGTTCATATGAATTTTTAATCGAAATTATGTTGATTATGACGTTTTTGTGTTTTTATAGTTCATATTGTGTTGGTAGCTTTTTCTTTAATTATTACTACGAGGTCAATTCACATGTTCAAATGAAATGAGTTCATCGTCAACTTAAATTGTTATGCAATCTAATTTTGATAACCATTCGGCTCCATCAGCTGCTTGTGATGCTTGACCTGTCATAGACTGCAACTAGTGTTCATATACATTCAGATGTGTTCATATATGTTCTAGTAGGGACATGAATCAAGGCATCTAATATTGAATTTATAATTTTTGTTAATTTATTATTGATCTTGTTTTTTTATAATATTGATTTTTCTATCTATAATGTTTTTGAATTTGTAATTGGTAGAAGAAACCCGGTAGTAAAGTTTTCGGTATCGTTCAAGCTATTATGGTTAAATCCACTGTTCATAATAAAGGAACTATTGTTCATAAGTGTTCATATATACACCAGTTGCATATCTCAACATTGACTCGCTCCTGAATGTGTTCATAATGAATGAACTATTGTTCACAAGTTGTTCATATTGTGTTCATATGTACACTAGCTGCATATCTCAACATTGGATCACTCGTGAATGTGTTCATAATGAAGGAACTATTGTTCACAAGTGTTCGTATTGTGTTGATATGTAAACTAGCTGCATATCTCAACATTGGCTCGCTCCTAAATGTGTTCATAATGAATGAACTATTATTTACAAGTTGTTCAAATTGTGTTCATACATGTTTTTTTTTTATTTCCTTTCATGTAGCAGCTATTCTTATTATATTCATATTGTGTTCATAAATGTTATGCAGTCCAAGTTCATATATATGTCAATTTTTGTTCGTATTATATATATATATATATATATATATAATCAAATGAGAACTAATTAGTTTGTGGTAACCGTGAGGTCCAATATAAGCCAATCATTTTATGATATTATTTGTATTACCTTAATTAATATGTAAAGGGCGTTTTAGTAAAATGATTAATCATAATTTAAATAATTTTCTTATTTAATAGTTATCAAATTCGGTTTCCTTAATTATCTCAACAAAATTGTATCACAGTCGTGTATCACATTGTGGTTGTGTATGGCCTAAAACTCAGATCACATCTCTGATCAACCCATGTTCAAGACGTTATCACAGTGGTATCACAATGTGTAACGCAATTGGTTTTGTGTCTTACTGTAATAAATTCTTGGGTATCACAACGTGTATCATATTTGTTTTATGTTTTACTGTTAGAAATTCTTGGTCGGAAAGAGGAGAGAGATTTTAAAAAGACTAATTTACCCTTGTATATTATCAGTAAATTTAAATTATTTGAAAACTAATGAATAATTACCAAAAGTAATATGTTTAATAATAACCATTGATTATTAATAATGTGTGATTGAGATTGGATCTCACAGTTATCACAAACAATCGAGTTTTTCCTTGATTGGACCCCTATATATATATATATATATATATATATATATATATATATATATATATACTATCTTATAAACCAGATTTTTCGAAAGTCTTAAAAACATTTTTTAATGCACAAAGTCCTAATACATTTATGCACAAAGTCTTAAAATTCTTAAAAACAACTCATAATGCATTAAATACTACTACTTTATGCATTTAGTCTTAAAATATCTTAATCTACAATTAAAATAACATATAGTACAAGTTACTAATGCATATTATTATTTTTTCTTTTCATGTTCCCAAGATATTTTTGACACTTTTCACTCATGTATTCACCTTCTCACCCCTCTGTCTTCTTCTCATCCCCCAAGGTGAGATTCAAATTTATATTCACCATGAGTTATTAAAAGTTCTCTTATTCATCTCTCATTCAATTGCTTTAGAACTCTCGGTCTCGCTCTCTTGATTCTTTGCTCTTGGTATAAATCAAACACATTTGTGGAGTCATTTAAATATATTGGATTTTAAACTATCATACAATTTTTTTCATCGATAAACTGTAATTGGAACCATAACTCTTATTTATTCAAATTGTATTAATATGTAAAAAAACAAGTGTAATTTATATCATAGTTAAATCTTCTCTAATAAAAACCAGTGAAACTTCAAAATCGTTAAAATTCACGGCTTTCCACCGCATTGCGCGGGTACACAACTAGTATATATATATATATATATATATATGTGTGTGTGTGTGTGTGTGTGTGTGTGTTCATATGGTTCTTACATTAACAAAAATAATTATTTTTTTGATTTTGTAGCTTTCAATTAATGATATGGGAGTTACATAAAAAAGAAAATTACCCAAATACCCTTTTCCCCATTGTTCACATGTGTTTTTTGAAATTGTAAATTTAAAAAATTAATTTTTTATCATGATTAATCACATCCGTTTATTGTAAGAATCAATGGTCAAGATTGGTTAATACAATAATCTTGATTAACATTTGAACGAGCCCTATTCTTGATCATGTTTTTTCAGGCTTTATTCGAACCTTTCATGCAGCTTTAACCTGTCGGGATGAGGATGGAGATAATCCCCAAAAATGGTCCAGGCAGGAGACAGTTCCGTTTATGTTGCTTACAAATACAAAAACGAATAATATGAATAGTCACTTTCCTAAGAGAGTAAACTCCCCCACTATGACCCTAGTTTGTTACACCAAAATCACTATAAAACACCACATAAAGACCTCCCATATACACACCACCCCCAAAGACCATCTTTATATCTTTTATTAACAAAAAAAGAAGATGTGGAAGTTGAAGATAGCACAAGGCAATGATCCTTACTTGTTTAGTACCAACAATTTTATTGGTCGCCAAACTTGGGAGTTCGATCCTCATGCCGGAACTCCGGCAGAACGACAAGAAGTCGAGAATGCTCGTCAGTATTTCCTCGATCGGCAAAAGCAAGGTTTCCAAGCATCTAGTGATTTGCTCATGCATATACAGGTATATTCAAAATTATTGGATGTTGATGGAACGCTCAATCGCGATTGAGCCCATCGACATGTACTAGCTAGTTTAGCACATATTTTTTTTAAATGTCGCAATGAAGAAAATGTTTCAAAGTCTTTTTTTTTAAATATATATACGGCTAATGAACCTCTCACACACTTAACCCTGTGATGGGTTGGAACCCTTGACCTATACGAAGATTGGATTATCAAATACTGCTAGATCAAAGACCCTTTACTAATACTTCAATGTTTGTGTGCATTTTTTTCCGATTATACTCTACTAAGCATATACCAATTTAAGGTTTGATTTTATATGCAAAACTTAAAAACAATGAACTAAAATAAAACAAATGTTACAAAATTTTGTTTTAGATGGAACCGTTGAAACAAAAATCTTTCATTTAATTTGGTTCTAACTTTTTCAATTTTTTGTTAAGGTGGTTAGATCTAAGGGGCTGTTTGCCAAATATTTACCCAGGTAAGTGTTTACTAAGTCACATTACCTTACCGGATGAATATGAAAAAGACCAAGAATCTTACCTGGTAAGAGCAAGGCAATGACCGAGAGTCTTATCCGGTAAGTAAGGACGATAACTCTTACCACAGTTAGCACTTACCAGGTAAATTGTTATATCCAATGTCGTTTTGATGGACTAAAATCTTACCCGATAAGAAAGTGATCATTTTAAAATTTACCGGTAAGTGCTTACCGGATAAGTATTTGGTAAATGACCCCTAAGTTTCAATGCAGACGCGGACCCATCACTTCATATCCCAAAACACTATCTATATTCTCAATGTTCAACGAAAATACTAATATTTTTGTGTAACGTCATATGAAAATTGTTGTACATCTGTTTTTGGGAATTCATAATATTGCATAATGTCATCATTATAAATGAAATGGATGATATTAATACAAATTCACAAACCGACTGAATTTCGGATGAGATCATCTCAAGAGTAGTGTCGAAAATCAGTTTCTGAATACAATAATTTCGACCCTATTAGCCTTGGGTTCATGAAATTTGTATTGCATAATTCTTGAGATTATTCTCATTTTCAAAGGTTGTGACGGGACTTATATACCCAGATTCTCGTTTTACATATTTAGATGAGAGATTGGCGGTTTAATGGTTATAACCATTAATGAATAAAGTCAAAGAGCGGTTACAACCGACTCCGCAAAGAACAACTTAATCTGTATTTACTTGAATGATGCTATAAATCTCCATTAAAGTGGTTATTTATTTATTTATAATTGAACAAAAGCGAGGAGGCGAGCTTTGCCGTATTGCATTATAAAGTAGGGAATTCCATTGTCTTTGGTATGCGAATTTCAAGCTGCTACTGCTCCGATAGCTGCTTTAGAGGTTGCTTAGCCGGTATCTGACTGAACTAGCTGGTTTAGATTTCATTAGTTGAGAGTCTCGCACTATTTACGTTCACCGATAGCTGAATACTCGTTCAGCGATAAGATGAAGATTGTTCAGCGACAGCTGATACGTGATGCTAAAGAGAAGATGTTGAGTTACGACTTAGTAAATTTTCTATTTTCTAAGTCTTCTAAGGTGATAGGGAAATATTTACAAGTGTGCACTCCACACCTCCTAATTTACGTAGTCGATTTCGAGTAAATCACAATTATGCCAAAATGCTTGACAAAACTAAAAATCACGGGCACAATATCTTATATTTTATAAACAAGAGGTATATATAAATGGATTATGTAATGCAGTTGATGAAGGAGAACGGAATTGATGTACTGGGCGTGCCACCCGTGAGGCTGGGAGAGAACGAAGATGTGAAATATGAAGCGGTGACGACCGCAGTCAGAAAAGCAGTCCGGTTGAGCCGAGCCATCCAAGCAAAAGATGGTCACTGGCCTGCGGAACATACTGGTCCTTTGTTCTTTACTCCTCCCCTAGTAAGTTTTATCAAATATATGTTGATGAAGAACACATGCATTGTTGTAATCATGAATAACTATTCAACATTCTTTGTGTGAAATTGGTAAAGTGTACCTGCAGCTTATTGTGTTGTACATAAGTGGAGCCATTGATACACGTTTAACAAGAGAACACAAGAAAGAGATTAAACGTTACATTTACAATCACCAAGTAAGAATTTCCATCTCTTCTTTAATTACTTTCTATATATCTTGAACAATAACATCAAATTAAAGCTATATATATATATATATAATTGTATTGTTTCATTTTAAGTTTATTACTATGAAAGAATATTAATTATTTTTAAGTTAATTGTTGGATTTAGTAACGTTAACAGATGTTAATGTTGTTAGAGGGAAGATGGAGGATGGGGATTTCATATCGAGGGACATAGCACCATGATGGGAACTGCATTAAACTACATAGCCTTACGGATATTAGGAGAAGGGCCAGATGATGCAGTCGTAAGCCGAGGCAGGAAGTGGATACTTGACCATGGGGGCGTGGTCGTCATCCCGGCATGGGGAAAAATTCATCTCAGTGTAAATTAATATTTTGGCAAATTAATTCATGCACATATATAACATTTATGTAGTAGATATATATATATATATATATATATATATATATAAAAGGGCTTTCTTGGTTCAATATATCCCGACACTTGAAATATATTTGTAAACAAACACTCATATATATATATATATATATATATATGTTGTTGGATTATAATAACATCATAACATTACAACCAGATTCATTTTATTAAATATGTTCCTTCACAATCACAGGTCCTTGGAGTGTATGAATGGGAAGGGTGCAACCCAATCCCACCAGAATTTTGGCTTTTCCCTAAAGCTTTTCCTTTTCATCCAGGTACACATATTTCATATTCTAAACAAGAAACAAAACAAAATGATTCCATCAACTACTGCTTCCAAATCCACCTTTACTATGTCTATATTGAATGGAAGAAGTTTTAGTTGAACTAACTGATCACTAGTGTTCTTACCTGTGGTGTAGCGAAAATGTGGTGCTATTGTCGAACGACCTATATGCCCATCTCCTACCTGTATGGGAAAAAATTCCACGGCCCCATCACTGATCTTGTTCTTCAACTGAGGCAAGAGATTTATCGGACCCCATATGACGAGATCAATTGGAACAAACATCGCCATAACTGTTGCAAGGTTATTAAATAATCGATTTTTATAAGCATGCATGCTTTCGAACTTGTATAATATATGTGTTTCAAATGGAATACAGGAGGATCTTTTTTACCCTCATTCAACCCTCCAAGATCTATTGTGGGATGGCATTCACTACTTCAGTGAGCCATTCTTCAAGTATTGGCCTTTCACCAAACTAAGAGAAAAAGCCCTCGAAAGAGCCATTAAGCTGATTCGTTACAGCGCGGAAGAAAGCAGATACATTACCATGGCATGTGTAGAAAAGGTAATTCAAGTATCATATATGTATTATCTAGCTAGCTAGGGTTCATTGGTTCATGATCTCAGATATTGGCTAGGTTAAGTGATGTATTTGATATGCATGCAGAGCTTCCAAATGATGGTTTGGTGGGCAGAGAACCCTAATGGAGATGAGTTCAAGCATCATCTTGCTAGAGTGCCTGATTTCTTGTGGTTAGCAGAAGATGGAATGAAGATGCAAACATTTGGTAGTCAACTATGGAACTGCACACTTGTAACTCAAGCAATAATCGCGACTAATATGGTCGAAGAATATGGGGATTCCCTTAAAAGAGCCCACTTCTATATCAAAGAATCTCAGATCAAGAACGATCCGGCTGGAGATTTCAGAAAAATGTGTCGGCAGATTAGGAAAGGGGCATGGACGTTCACCGACCAAGATCATGGTTGGCCTGTGTCGGATTGCACAGGCGAAGCACTCAAAGTGATGATACAAAAACTTAACCACCTCTTTTATTTTCTTAATTAGTTTCACAGGCCAGTACCTATATAAGGCAATATATATATATATATATATATATATATATATATATATAGCTCTTACAATAAATATCACACATTTCCTGCATGCAGTGTCTTCTGTTACTATCCCAAATGCCAGATGAAATTTCAGGAGAAAAAGTTGATAACCAACGATTATACGATACTGTTAATTTCCTCCTTTATGTTCAGTCTCCTACCAGTGGAGGGTTTGCTGTTTGGGAACCACCAGTCCCTCAGCCTTATTTACAGGTATATATATACACACAACTTGCCAATTTTCAAGATATTAAAACACAACTCATAAAGCCAATTAAGTTTCAGCCTTTTAGAAACTAATTATCTTTTTTTTTTCTTTTCTTTTCTTTTTGTAGATGCTGAATCCTTCAGAACTATTTGCCGACATCGTTGTTGAGAGAGAGTACTAAGTTCTTGTGAATCCATCCATTTCTTAAGTTCTTGGATAGATGCTATGCTAACATTTAAGTTTTTGTATGTATTTTGGGTAGGCATGTTGAGTGCACAACATCAGTCATGCAAGCTCTCATTGCCTTCAAACGCTTGCACCCCGGACATAGGGACAAAGAGATAGAAATTTCTATAGCAAAAGCAGTGAGTTATCTAGAGGGTACTCAATGGCAAGACGGTTCCTGGTAATTAAGATTTTCACCTCCACTTTTAGTATTAATCCCCATGCACCTACTCAAGTTATTTTCTAAGTAGATTTTGTTTTAAGGGGTGCCCCATGATATTATAAGATACAAGGAACAACAATCAAAAAAAGTAATTCGAAATCAACCAAAAAACTAAAACAAAATCTCTTGTGGATCTCACAAAAGCTATGGGTCCGCCATTGATTCTAAAAAGGTGGAGGTTTGTTGTCTACATCTCTCTATAAGAGCTATTTTAGAAAGATTCAAAGGTATTCTAACAATAACACTCAAGGCAAATTAAGCTATGATTTAATAAGTAAATAGGTATGTACATATTGATCTAAACACTTGTGAAACTCAATTACTAGGTATGGCTATTGGGGGATATGTTTCATATACGGCACATTCTTTTCGCTAAGAGGCTTAGATTCTGCTGGAAAAACATATAACAACAGCGAATCAGTTCGTAAAGGAGTCAAGTTCTTACTTTCGACACAAAATGAAGAGGGCGGATGGGGAGAAAGCTACAAGTCTTGCACTATGGAAGTATATACACCGTTGGATGGTAATCGGACTAACATAGTTCAAACATCATGGGCTATGCTCGGTCTTATGTCGGCTGGACAGGCTGAAAGAGATCCAACGCCCTTACATAAAGCAGCTAAGCTCTTGATTAATTCACAGATGGATGACGGAGACTTCCCTCAGCAGGTAACTTAACTTTGGATATATTCGGCAACCGTTGCGCAACTATACTAAATATGAACTAAACCGAATTGGAATTGTTGGCGGGATCATTTCGATTAACAAATGATATGATTCAATTTTCAGGAGTTTACTGGAGCCTCCATGAGGAATTGCATGCTACACTATCCACTGTACAGGAATACCTTCCCATTAATGGCACTTGCCGAATATCGAAAACTTCTTTGGCCCAAAAACTCAAGTTCCAATCTTGAATAAAACAACTCCGAGAAATAAGTGTAAGAATTTTTAATCATATGGTATTATAATTTCAAGAATAAGTATTTGCTTATATAATTGCGCTTTTTGTATACAAATAACATTTTAGTGTTTGGTTGAATGATTTATATCGATTAACATGACAAATGTTGGTGATATATACATATCTATATCTATATCTATCTATATATATATATATGGCTATGAGGAATTCCTATCTTGTGATTAACTATGAGGTCCAATCATATCGATGCTCGCCTTGGCATGGAAGATGCAACTATTGTTCTTGGATGTCCATGACCGAGCTAACGGGATGCCCTAGTTAAACGTCTATAATTTTTGTTATAGGACTCCGTTTCAGGCCCATAATATGTTGATTCAAAGTTTTGAACGAGGAACACGTCATGGGCATATATTTTTAGGCCTGGAAATATCGTTTAAGCATGTTTTTGGACACTTGTGTTTTTGTGTTGTATTTTACATTTTTCGTTTGGTCCATAGTCTTTTTCAGGCCCATTTTGTTTTGGTCTTCTTATTTATATGTTGTTTGTGTAATCTAGATGATTATTCACGAAATACAGAAACTTTCAATTTTCTCCCAAATTTGAGTTCAATGTGAATTCGATTTGAAGCCTAAAGTTCCGTATTTGTTGAATCAACAAACTTTAGAGGAGATTATTCTCGGGCATTCACAAAATCAACGGGTTTGGTCTTTATACAATGCATAACATATTGACTAACAGATCATAAGGTTACATTACACTATAAAACATAATGCTTTTACTAACGGGAAAAAATCCATCGATAAACGCCATCCGTGGCGGATTACCGGCAAATCATGTTGTTGAAAAAGTCTCGTTGGTAATCTGATTTACTAGCAAATCCAGTGCACCACTAATTTTGTCGCTGATTATTTTAATTTAATTAAAATTTTGTAATTAAGACTTAACTAAATTGACTAATTAAATTATCAGCGGAATCATGTTGTCACAAAAAGTGTCGCCGCTAATACGATTTACTGGCAGATCTGGTCCACAACTATTTTCGTTGCAATTCTTTTTTGAATTTAATTAAAATTTCGTAAATAAAATTTGATTACTAAATAGGTTAATTCGGCGATTTTAGTAAATAGCCAAATATGATACTTGGGTTAAGGGTCAAGTTGGTGATTTTTTTTACATCTCTTCTGTAACACCCTAAAAAAATAAGGTAGGAGATAATTTGAACCGAAAGTACATAACGAAAACTAGAGTTTAATAAGAAATCACCCAACAAAAGGGGAAAAGTATAGCATTTACAGAACAACTAATGGGACGATAATTAACAACATATTAATCTAAATAATTCTATGCTTAAATTAAGAACGGGTGTTTCTATCATCTCAAACAAAATATCGTAACATTTAATGTTGTAACGCTCAAAGCACCAAATGTTTTATCAACAAAAATCTTTTTTACGAAACAACGCTCCTCTCAACCCTTTGGAACCCCGCCGCTAAAGGAACCTGATAAATAAGCAATTTCAAGAAAGAGTGTTAGGCTTACGCCTAGTGAGTCCAAACGGTGAGATAAATAAACCATAAAACCTTTATATATATATATATATATATACACACACATATATAAATACATAACGTAACTTTAAACGATACGATAGGTACAAGCAATTCCAAATATCACATGGTGGAGCCCGATTTACCGTTAATTATGACGGAACACAAAGTATGTCATGGATCAACGTTATAGAGCATCACTTACAGGTATAATTCCATTGACATCAACCTAAACCAGTCATGTAGTCGGTCGTGATCATAAGCTCTTTATCTCGAAAATTACATAATCATCACAATGCCTATTTCCGAGTGGTAGTGGGAGGATGATTTGGAAGTTACCTAATAATCACAATGCCTACAACCAATTTACACCATCTCTCACACAATTAAAAATAAAACCACTTCCAATGTCCATAGATCTTTTACATCTTGATTATATGCTCGGATACACTTACTTGGGCATAAACAACGCTGTTTCCACCTTAAGTCTATGCGTGAGTCCTCAATTAAGGTAAACATTTCTCTACTGCCATTAAAGATATTCATGTGTAAAACATAAAAGTTCTAGGGTCTCATAGCAAATAGTACCTTATATTAAGCAATTTACCAAGTGGTCATGTCTATTTCCAAAACTCATTACGTTTATATAACCAAGATCCCCAACTTCGCCCCATTTTGACCTAGAATTACCTTTTCCATCCCAGCATGTAGATACATAGAATTAAACTATTCGGGTAATTATATTCATTCACATTAGCACATATGAAATTTCATAAAAGATAGGATGAACTCACTTTGCAGGATTTAGGGGAAATCCTGAAAATCTAGGAACTAAGAGGAATGACAGGGAGGTCTTAAATCAAAGAGATAGCGCCCTTCACTAAGAAACAGCAACAGAAGAAGACTGGTGGGGAAGAAAGAAGGCGCAGGCTATCATGGGCGCAACACAGTGGCTTCCGAGCTGGTCAAGACTGGCGCTTAACTGCGCCTAAACCAGTAGCTTGCTGCTCCGGTTCCCTCTACTGCGTCCGTCAAACAGCAGTTACGGCTGCTTCAATTTCTGTCTGTTGCGCACCAAACAGCAGCTAAAGCTGTTTCGTTTCCTGTGTGTTGCGCGCATCAAACAGCAGCTACGACTGCTTCGTTTTCTGCCTGTTGCGTGCGTCAAACAGCAGCTAGGGCTGCTTCGTTTTCTACCTGCTGCACTCGCCAAATAGCAGCTTGCTGCTTCTCCCTTCTTTTTCTTCTTTTCTTTGTTTCTTGTCTTCCCTTTCTCTTTTCTTTAAAATAGTAGCTAAGGACAGGTATGGAAGGGAAGGAACCCTTCCCAAGGAAAGGAAAGTCTACTGGGTAATACAAAAGCCAACAACTACCCCCCCCCTTTTTTTAACCAAAGAAGACTAAATAAATAAAAGTTATAAACTCCCAATATGAGTATATAAATATTTATATATATAAAAAAATGCACACTTCACGAAAGAGATGGAAATCCTAGATGTGTACGGAGTAGAGAATAGGAGAAAAATCTCAGGTGTTACAATCCTCCCCACCTTAGATTAAATTTCGCACTCGAAATTGTTGTTCATGGTAAAAGGTGGGGTAGCGCCTGGGACTTAGCTTCCCACGCTTTCCAAAACGGATAATACATTTCCAAGGGGACACTTTTAGCATTACACGGTCACCCACTTGGAATTCCATAGGTCGGCTCCTCTTGTCTGCATAACTCTTTTGTCGATCATGCGCCACCTTTAAGCGCTCCCGAATATATTTCACCTTGTCGGCCGTTTCTGGCACGATTTCAGGGTCGACGAATTGTTTCTCACCCGCTTCAAGCCAACACACAGGAGTCCTACAGTTTCGTCCACACAATGCTTCGAAAGGTGCCATCCCGATACTAGAATGATAACTATTATTGTAGGCGAACTCCACAAGGGGTAGGTGAGAATCCCAATTCCCGCCAAAGGCAATATCACACGATCTAAGCATGTTTTCGAGGGTTTGAATGGTCCGCTCGCTCTGACCATTGATTTGAGGATGGTAAGTTGTACTCAACTTCATCCTCGTACCCAATTCCTTCTGTAAGCTGCCCAAAAATGGGAGGTGAATCGGCTATCTCGATCTGACACTATAGACAACGGTATACCATGCCTCGAAACTACTTCGTCGATGTATAACCGACAAGCTTGTCCATTGGCAACGATTCACACATTGCTAAGAAATGAGCACTCTTTGTCAGTCGATCAACCACTACCCATATCGTATCATGACCTCTTAGAGTCTTTGGCAGTTTGGTCACGAAATCCATGGTAATATGCTCCCACTTCCACTCGGGAATCTCCAAGGATTGAAGGCTACCATAAGGTCGTTGGTGTTCTGCTTTCACTTGCAAACAAGTCACGCACCTCCCCATGTAACGAGCCACATCCAACTTCATAACAGTCCACCAATATGTCAATTTCAAGTCCTGATACATCTTGGTGCTACCCGAATGGATGGAGTATCTAGACTTGTGCGTGTCTTCTAGCAGCAGTTCACGATTACCTCCAATCTTGGGTACCCAGATACGCCCTTGAAATAACTTCAAGCCACAACCATCCTCTGTCAGAAGTAAACGTTGTTTCATCATTACTTCACTCTTGAGGTTCTCTTCCAAAAGTGATGTAACACCCCCAAATCCATAAATTGCATATAACACATATTTCATATATAGAATACATGTTTTCCCTCACATAGGTCCTTGATACAAGAGTCTATAATGTAAAATACACAACCCAAAATTTCAAAAGTACATGTTCTTGCATCCTAGCATCTATGCTTC